TGTCATTGAAATGTATATCTTGGGGCTTTAATTATAGGGGTAATCTGGGTGCAGAACATATAGTGCGTGTTTCCTATAAGGAAGGCTTTTAAAATAATTGAAGTTAATCTTAAATGTGTAAATATTTTTAGTTTTAAATGTTCAACACTAGTTTAAGAATAAAAGTTCTCTACTTTCCTGATCAGAGATATTAAGTAATAAGTATCTCAAAATCTCAAAAGGAAGTCTTGTACCTGCACATATATAAAGTTTTAAACCACAAATCATCTTGGTAGCTGTATTTAAGTCGATTTACTTTTCAATACTGTAATAGAGCTACAACTTGCTTAAACTCAAAAGTTCTCCCTCACTATTAATTACATCCTTTCCAATTTTTAATTTTTATATCCTTTTTTAAAATCTAAATGTGCCATTAAATCAAGGATAATTTTCTTCAGTCTGTATTATCCTTTAATGGTTTTTATCCAATTTGTATTATAACTTCTCAAGATTTATATTTGCTTATTTTTATTGTTTCAAGTGTATATAATTCATTTGATTATAGATGGGTTTTTATGCAAGCCTGTAAATAGGAATATTGTAGTCTTTATATTATGAATAATGTATATACTACATATACATACTAATGCAGAGCTGTGGATTTTGAATTGTATATGTGTCTTATTTTGACAGTTTCATCATTAAGTTCTATTTGCCAATAAGCTAAATAATCTTTCACATTGTCTATAGAGGCTTTAGGAATAAGATAAACGTGTTATAATCTTCTTAAGAAACCTATTAGAGTAATTGATCAACATAACTTCAATTGAGTTACTGGAATTCTTGGCATACTGTTCTGGACCTGTAATCTATCTATAGCAATGTTTTAAACATTAAACTTAAAACTCAGGGGGAAAAAGGTTCTTCAACTTGAGATCTTCTCTCCAGATCTCCATTCTTTGGAGTTTCCGTGAGTGTGACCTGAAGAACTTGGAACCATTGAAATTCAAATGTAGGTAGGTAAGTGTTCACACCAGCGCATGTGTTGATTGCCTTATATCTCCTTGTATATGCATCTGTATTGCACCCCCTCAGTGCCTTTCTTCCTCTTCCTCCCCATAGATCATGTAGGGCCCGTGTTATTTGGGTATTATAATTTTGTAATTCTGTATTTTGGTATTTGTGATGTGTGTTAGCAATTTAAAAAACTTCTTCAGACGTTTATGACATTGTGTTGTCTTTCACACATAAGTGTTTGCTATGTATGGGCCTGGGTTGCATTTTTGTGAATCATGTGTGTTGATAAACTTCCCCTGAAATTGCTGGTATTCATTGAAGGATGCACAAAGTCTCAGTCTTGCATTGTTTCATGTACTCTTTCAAATATACCTAGGGAATGTGAACTACTTCTAGTTCTAAGAATTTCTTCCAATTAGTCTTTGTTTTACAAGTCATACTCCTGATACCATTCATGATATCAGTGTCAGCTGCTCTGTTGTGAAGTCCATTCACAAGCTTTCTTTGAGCATTAAGAAAAAAGTGATTAAATTTAATTATTTGCTTCCATCAATAAGAATTAATATTAATTTATTCCATACACATAGGCCCCCTACTTTTCCACCCCCCAATAGAAAACCTACTGATTGATAACATAATAAATTGTAAGTGAAATGGCAAATAGACCCAATATGGAATATTCTTCTAGTCTTCAGTAGAGTTTCTATTCACATAAGCAAAATAAGATGTTTAGATGCTTAATTAATGTAATTTTGCTCAAATATCTGAGCACCAAAATCTAGGATTCCAATCATGCTTCTAACTTTTTTTCCATCACGTCTACCAAGCGTATCATGGAATTTTAAATCTTCTTCCCTTTTTTTTTTCCCATCTCCTATAAAAATTAGGAGTCTTTCATAGTGGTTCTTAAACTTTTCGTCTCCAGGCTTTTGGACACTTAAAGATTACTGAAGACCTCAAAGAACTTTTGTTTATACACACACATGTGAGTTGTATGTATCAGTATTTACTGTATTAGAAATTAAAATGGAGACAATTAAATTTAGTATTGCATTTTAAAATAAAAACATTATATGTTAATATGTAGCATTTTTATGAAAAACATCCTCAAAATTAAAAACAATTGCTAAGAAGGATAGCATTTATTTTACTGTGAGTGTGTGATGGTGTACAATATAATGGCTATTAATACAATTTGGTACCATTTTATTGGATTCATACTAAAGCCCCAGCAGTTTTATGCACCGCTATTTTTGAACCATCAGTGCAACTGTCAATATAGTAAAAAGGCAAATAAAATCTTGGCATTTTTATAGAAGTAGCTTTGACTTTGTGTCTGAAAGGGTCTTGGGGACCCCACTTTGAGAACCATGTTCTAGGATGACTGTTTATCTTGAAATGAAAATTTGTATCAGTCTGTTCGAGTTAAGTTTTTTTCCATCTTCTCAGTCTTTACTATCCGAGGAGAATAACTTGCCTGTAATTGGTATGAACAGACTTTAGAGTTATTTAAATATAATTCTTGTTTTAGTTCGTGTCTTAGAAGTGGATATAATAGAAAGCACCCCAGGTGTCCAAAATGAGTCTGTCCATTGGATCTGTATATTTTTCTCTTTACTTGTGTGTGGTATGTGTGCTCTGTGTGAATATACAATTAATTTGGCTCCTGGGTAGCTTTAAAACACATTTCACAAAGCAACATGATTTTCATGAATTATGGCAATTCATACCATATGCCATTGGGTTATGCTATTTTTTCTCCTGATCTACCACAATTTCAAATACTACTGCTTCAATTTGTATGCCAAAGATTTTATGAAATTCTCTACAACTTTCTTAATTTTTGCCTCTTGTTCCCTGACAACCAAAACTCATAATGTGAAAGCAGTCTAAGAAAGTGGTAGAGATGCCACATGGAAAGGAGAATGTGAACATCCTCTTCTAAGTGGCATTCTATTGAGTTATCTTCTTCTAAAATTTGTTTTTCCTATGATATCCCTGGACTGTTGGATTTTTATAACTAGTACCAACAGTACTGAGGGGGTGTGTGATGCTTACATATATGCAGACATATAGTGGAGTTTGACTCACACTCAATGCATGCGCTAGTGCTCACACTTATGTATCTAAAATTTAATGATTCAACAGCTCTGCAGTAATTGAAGAAGTAGTCAGAATGAATAAATAAATAAATTAAAGTTAAAAATTCTGCTAAAGAACAAGGATCTGCAGAAGTGATCCAATAATAAGGAACTCTATCTACTGGTAAGTAATCAAAATAATTTCTAATTTGGAAAATTATCTTAGTGCATTATCTTTATAATACTATAACCCTAACAAGTATTCTGCCAATATAACACATAGGTATAATACCACACCCTATAACAAAAGTACTTTGCCTATAAGTTTGGCAAACTATTAATTAATTGCTGAATTGTATAGTTAGGAAAAAATATGTAACATAAAAAACATAAAAATAAATCATTTAGTTGAATATATTATTTTATTTCTATCTCCTTTTAGAACAGATTTCATGATTCCATTTTAGGATTTGAAATTGTTTTAGACTATTTGAACTCTAAATGCAAATTTCCCTTTTTCTCAGGCATGTTTTCTATTGTTTTAGTAGTGGGCCCCTTTCTAGTATAGATGTGCTCCCAAAACTGAACCAGGTGCTATCCATAATTACTCATCAGTTTTGTATAAGTTCCTTTGGCTAGCTCTTCATACTTCACCCTAAAAGTAGGAAGAATTATCTACAGAGACCACCAGCAATTAATCATGTAGAATATGACACAGCTTAACCTTGCCTTTATGTTCTTTTCTGATAAATCACCCAACCACCTCATATCTCTAGGTTAAGAACTATAAAGTATGATAAAGTGAATAGTAAGCAAACTGTCAAGGGATGCATGCTATGAAGAGAATGTGTTTTGTAATAAACAGATTTATAGCTTTAGATTACTAATAGTTATTGCAAAAGAATTTGGAGAAAATTGTTAGTTTGAAAATGCCATATAAATTTTAAAAGAAACAACAAAAACTGAAAAAATTCCTATATCTGTGGATGAATTAGCTATTAACAATAATAGTGTTTTATATAGGTGTATATTTATGTCTTTTCCTTAGCTTATCCTGAGAGGCAGTACTTTTGGTTTTCATTCTGATTTATTTACTTTACACTTGATACAGGTATTCTACTATCATTCTTCATGAAGAACTAGAAATCTAAGGTTTATCAAGTACCTTAAAACCAGTTAGTTTCTTAGAAGATGAAGGCAAGCAGTGATGACAGATCAATATTGACTTCATTCTTTTCACCTTTCAAGCCAAAATTTCCTTTCATTATTATGATGATTGTCACTGTTACTAAATAAAACTTTGAAATGAAAAATATTTTAAGTAACCCATTTCTTTCCTTTTTAAAACTAGTTTCCTTCCTAGCAGTCTTCAAAGAACACTGTGCTGCAAACCATCAAACAATAATTTTTGTGTATTATATGTATACTTTTCATTGTTTATTATGAAGCAACTGTTTTTAAGAACTTCGAAGTTTTTGTCTTATCTCTGGGGTCTTCATTGAACTTTCTTTTTTCTTCTTAAGCTTTTCATGTACTCTGTAATTTCCTGTAATGTGAATGTTACTTTGTCTAACATTTTCACTTAAATAACAGTGGTATTGGTTCATTATTTACATATCTCTAAATCCTGCTCTGTAAAGGTGTAAGACCCTGGTTTTAAAAAAAAATAGTGATTTGATATACATATTATTTGAATTATTTTTACTGTAAATTTCTTTTAATCATTGAAAAGGTTTAAAACTCAACTCTTCTGGACTAACATTAAAATATTTTCAAGACAATTACATGAATGGACTTAAAATTGCTTTACTTTAATTAAAACAGTATCAAGTTTGCACTAGGGAAAATAAGAAGTGTTTTTATCTTACTAATGTCCTTTTGATACATAAATCCTTCTTGTTTGTTTGTTTGTTTGTTTCGCAGATTCCCTACAGGCTCAGCTTATCAATATGGGTGTTATTCCTACTTTAGTGAAATTACTGGGCATCCACTGCCAAAATGCAGCCCTTACAGAAATGTGTCTTGTTGCATTTGGTAATTTAGCAGAACTTGGTAAGTGCTTCATGAACCACAATGTAATTAACTTATTGATGTACTTATAATAAATTTTCGTTTAGATGTTAATAACCTAGAAATCCATTTAGATAATACTAGTTTTTTTTTAAGCATTGTACCTTTGCTTCAATGTTTGAAAAAAGACCCAATTATATCTTATGTTTGTATTATTTATAACTGGAGCTACTTTGCTTCCCTAATTGTTTTATGTGGTGAGGTTTAAAGTTTACACTTGTGTATTATTTAGTAGAGTTGAATATTTAAAATGATCTCTACTTAACTTAAATAAATGAGGGGGATGGTCTTGAAATAAAATATTGTACTTTCAGGGCAAAAAAAGGACTTCATAATTTATTACAGTTTATATAAATTATTTGCTTATCAGGTGAAAAATCTAGCAGACTAAGGTTCTTCCTCCTCTTTTTACAGAATCTCTAAAATAAGGGACTTTTCCATATGAGTGTTTCTAACAGCATTAGAAAAAATTAGGAGACATCTTTGAAAATCAGAACAGAGACACAAGCAGATCAATGCTAGCAACACAGCACACTCCTAGCAGAGAAGAGGACTGCTGACTCCAGCTCCTCTCTCTCTTCCTGTTTCATTTTTCTGTATATCATATGTAGTACCCTTTCTTCTTTCTCTCCTTCCTATGATTCATGATAGAAAGTGCAATTCCTTATCTAAATCTACCCACAACCATGTTCATAATAAATTGTTTATTATAGAGACAGTGAAACCAAATGCTGTTTTGTCATAACTAAATATAATAGTTACAACAAAAAAATAAATTATATTATCCCTGTTTTATAAATAAATAAACCCAAAGTGCCAGGACTCTAACCTTGGATTTTCTAATAGAAAGTTAATGTCCTTACCCTCTGCACATTAAAATCTTGATTTCAGTACCTTACTTTTTGCTTTGACTTCAAGTTAAGGGAATAGGGATTATTTATCAGAGCCAATTTTTAAGTAATTCAGTGGGTCATCTCCTGGTATTTGTGGATATTTCTTTTCTTCTCTCCTCTGCTTTTCTTCTTTTTCATATTGTCTCATTTCCATCATTCAGGTAAAACCAAGAAGGAAAGAACATTCATTTATTGTTTTACAGATTATTATTTTCCAGTATTAAAATGGAATGTAGGAGTTTTGTGTGTGTTCAGTATAGTTTGTAGATATAGAATGGAAATCATGTTATAATCCCTCAATGTCATAATCCTTGTAATAGAAACAAACACTATGTAATATGAGTTGCCTGTGTTAAGGACTCAGGATTTGTTTGGAAGATTTCATAGAGCACCTCAATTCAGCCTCACCTCCCTGGTCTATATTAAAAGATGGATACCCACCCAACTTAGTTTAGCCCAGTTTCTTACTATTTACCTATTTAGAGGAAGAAAAAAGAGAAATATTCCTTTATTTACTAAGACCACTAGAGTTTATATAATGTAAAAGCTACATTATACATCAATAGTGAAATAGCACATTTATGCCCCAGACACTTTTCTCTTTTCAGTGGGGGCTTTATTGTCCATGATTTACTAACAAGTCAGATAGTATTACTTTTATTGACATGGATAAATATCAAGTTCATATCACATACTTTTAAACATGGCATATGACTAAATGCTAGAGCTACCTTTTGTCAAAAATTTTTAATAAAAATGTTAAATAGAAATTGTCATTTTGCTCACTAAGGGTATATAATAGCTTAAAGACAAAATATAAAAGAATTTAACAAGTACAGTCAGTTACAGAATTGGGGTCAGAACAGCTCTGCCTCTTTTTGTTTCCTGAGTCCTGGTTTATGTGCACACATGATTTTTCTATTTACAGTTACAGCATTAATACAATTTTGAAGTTTGCAATCTTAGTTTAACATTAAGGATTAAGTAGAATGTGATTTCCCTCTTTTTATTTGGTTCCAAAATCTTTTATGAGTAAAAATTCCTGCTTAAAATACTAGGGTTTTTTTGGCTGGGTGGGAGGGGTTGGGATGGTAGAGATGTTAGAACATAAATTTGCACTTAATATCACTCCTTTCTGAAAACCAACTAACATTGCAGTAAAGGAATATTTTTTTGAAGGCTTAAGCCCTCAAGGAAGAAAAAAAAAAAGAGAGGGAATAACACAAAACATTTTAGGGCCTGAGAAAAAAAGCAAGCAATAACTCACATAGCCAAACTTTGAAATCAGAATTCTTGGAAAGCCAAGAACAAATTTGCTCTTCAGAATCTTCAAAGGCCCAAGATTTGGTGGCATCAGATTTCTAAACCATCCTCCCCTTTCCACACTTACAGTAACTGCCCCTTCTCATCTAAGCAGAAGACTATTTATATATCCTCTGTAGAGACTAAAAATAGAGGGTTTGTATACAGGGTACATCAGACTAAGTTGAAGTAAGAGGTACCAGAGTACAATTCTAAAAACAGATTAAGTGAAAGTAGATATACTAAATACTGAGAAACCCAGTGTCATTATCCCATTTGTCTTCTAGAACATGGACTTAAACATACTTATGTTGGGATTTTTCTACAGACAGGGCCATCTGACTACCCAACAGGGAATCTTGTAGGCATCAAGTGCACTCATACTATAGCTCCTAATCAGATTTTAAATCCCACTTCTTAAGTGAAGACCACTAGAGAAGTGAAGACAACCTCTAACATGGAAGATAGTGATGTCTGCAAATAGAAAAAAAGCAACTTGGAAGGAACAGAAACTATGCAGGGTGTGGGGAAAAAAACACAATATTCTTAGATAAATGAAAAAAAATACCATAAGCATGAAACTTTATAAGAGGATGCTATTTTTAAGGAAAAAGAACCACAAAACTTGAACATTAAAAACACAATAGCTAAAATGAAAGACAATAAAATGTTTGGAGAAATATTTGCAGAAATAAAGCACAAATCAAGGAGATGGAAAATAGAAAATATAGATAGAGGATCAGACCAAGAGTTGTAGAAATACATAAACAGGAGGAAATTGCCAAATAGGATTACAGAACTAAAGTACATAATATTCCAAATTGGAAGTCTCTGTCAAATACCTAATGGATGAAAATAGATCCAGACCACGGCATATCAGTGTGAAATTTTAGCAAAATGGGGACAAAATGAACATTTTAAAAACTTCCAAAGAGAAAGAGAAAAAAGGTTGCATACAGAACACTGTGAATCAGTAACATCAGATGTCTCAAAATAATACTGGTGTCCAGAAGAAAATAGAGTATTGCCTTAAAATTTTTGAGGGAAAATTACTTCCAATATAGAATTCTATACCATGTCAAACTGTTGATGAAGTATGTAGTTACAATAAAGACATTGCCAAACACCAGTGTCTTAGGAAACTGATGCCATTCCTCTAGATGCCATTAGAAGATGTGTTCCACCTAAATAAGGGATGTAATTTAAGAAAGGCTATATAGGAATTAGGAAACAAGAGACCCAACAGGAAAACAGGAATTCCTAGTAGTATGGTGACATGAGAACCCCAAATGACCTTTTAGCAAAGAGAAACCATATTAGAATAAGTTAGAAAGCTGCTGAGTCAGGGTTGGGGTAATTCTTGTAGAAGATGAAATTGATTGCATACCTACAGAAAATGAGCTTATTACAACTGGTGGAGGGTTTGGAGTTGAATTAAGGAAAAAGACATAGAAAACTAAACAAATGAGAGGAAAAATAATAATTCCAGGAAAATAGTTCCAGGCAAAATGAAATAGTACATTACTGAAACACTAATCATTGATAGAACCAAAATTACAGTATAAATACATTGAGAAGATGAAGGGTATGGTGGAGATAGAAAAAAAGAAAGCTAATGCCTCATCTTTCATAGTGGAAAGGTGGAAAGTCAATCAAAAATACCTGAAACTAAAAAATTCAGAAAGTGGCAGTACAAATATGTTATTAATAGATATGGAGGTAAATACCAATGAATTAGCTGTGTGCTTGGTTCTGTGGAAGAAATGGGGGAGGCAGACTGAATTCTGCTGGTAATGTGTTAGGACTGTTTAAACAAATGTGTGATTTTGATAAAAATAGGCTCCTAGAAAATGAGGCTTCTTGCTAACAGTCTCTTAGAAATCGGTTTTCAAACATAATGTCAAATCTTACTTGATGCTGTTTTCTCTGTATTCACCTGCAGGGTAAGTACAGATTTTATTCATGGATTCTCCTGTTAATCATAGTACATTTGTTTCCTTGTCCTGGCAAATGGCCTGAGTTACTTAGCAGCAGTGATTTGGTTTCAGTTTAATAAGTGTTTGGAGGAATAGACTGTGGATTGGAAAAAAGAGTGTTAGTAGCACTATTATTTTTAAAAAGAGCACATGACTAGATAAGTGATAATATTTATCTACTTCGCCTATTATTTTGTTTCTGAAATTCATTCCATTTGAATAGTCTGAAGCAGAGGAATGATCAACAATGAGGAGGAGTTAGATCATTCCTATTTAAATCAAACTAACCTTTTAGGTTAATGCTGACATTTGTAGAATATGGTCTCTGAGGAGTTAGATAGTTCATTGGAAAAGACACTCCATACCTATTCCTTTTTTATGGCAGTAAGGAATCCTACTTTCAGATCTTGGAATGGATCATCGTTTTGGCATAAATCTGGTGTATGTGCCAAAAGCAATATAACACGAGTGAATCAAAACTCTTAAGGCATATTAAGATTTGTGTTTTTCCTTTCTCTTTTAAAGTTGAACTTGCAGTATTTTTTTGATACTGACAGAGATTTTACCAGAGATGGGAGAGTAGAACCTAATTCTTGTGTTGATTTACTTGTTAATTCAGTCACACATTCATGTGATAGAGTGTTCTTTGAATACCTGCTGTGTACTGCGCACTATACTGGGCATTGCGTTTGTAGTAGTTAAAATAAGATACACTGCCCCTTCCCTCAAGGAGCTTTTAGTTTAGTGGGTGAGATGGAATTGATTTTAAATGAATTTGCAAATAAGTAAGCATATAATTATAAATTGTGATTATAGCTAGTATGTGAAAGTAATGGAATGAAGTGAGGGACTAATTTAGAGGCATAGACTCTAGGTTGGAAGAAACTTTTTCAGACAATATTTACCTTTTATACACAGTATGTAGTAGCTTTCTCAGAAAGCTGCAGGGGAATGCCTCCAACAGAACAAAATAAGTGAAGGTGAAAGGACATCAATAATAGAGTATTTAATACAGGAAGGAAAAGAAAGGATCTACCAGATAATGATAAAGAGAAATTCCAGGAAGTCAACTGTGTCCCCAAAACAGAGAGCAACCAATCAAGATTGAATTTGGTCAGAATTCTTTAAAACTTGTAGATAAATTAATAGCATATCTAATGCAGCAAAAGAACTTGAGACAAAAGAAATTGAGAAATGGAATTGAACCTGGTTGTATTTTGGAGGTAGATTGGTAGACACTGGTAATTCATTGAATGTAGAGTTGAGTGAGAATAAGTGAACAGTGACTCCCAGGTTTCTGCCTGAATAGATGGATAGATGGAGTGTTTATTTACCAAGTTACCAAGTTAAGTCTGGAGGAAGAACAAATTTCAGGCTAATATAAAAAGTTCACTTTAGACATGGATGCTAGACAAATATTCAAATGGAGATGTTAAATGACAAATAGTCCGGAGTCCAAAAGAGAGCTAGAGATATGATGAAGTATCAACATATAAATGCTGTTATGATGTTGTAGAAGAGAATTAGATTGTCTAGGGTAAGAGTAAGGTCGAAAAAGGTAAGAAAGCAAAGGATCAAGTCCCAAGGCCCTGGAATTTATAGTTTGGTGGAAAAGGGAGGAGCAAGCAAAGGAGACTGTAGAGTATACAGGTGAGCCAAAATTAGTTTGAAGTAGGTTTAGGAATACATGGGAATTGAGAAAGTAGAGGTACTGTATGTAGACAGTGCTATCAAGAATCTTGTTTATGAAGGTGAACAGAGATTGAATAGTGATTGAAGAAAAGTAGAGTAAAGGTGTTCTTAATACTGCTTTGTTTGTATGTGAGAAATACTAAGGCATATTTAAATGCTGATTGTGAGGCTCTAGAATGATGAGGAGAGATTGGAGACACTGAAGAGGTGAGAGGTATTGAGACTCCAAGCCCGTGGGAAGAATTGGCCTTTAATAGTGAGCATGCCAGCACCAATATGAAAGCATACCATTATAGTGATTTAATGATATGATAAATCACCTTTAACTCAGCCATGTAAAATGCAGTCTGAGTAGTTTTTCTTCATCGACTAAAACACACAAAACTATGAGTTCATAACTCAGTAATTGTATTGTTGCTCTGGTTACCTGTATGTTATGCTAGTGAATATTTTTCATAGCCTTGAATATAATTATGTCAGAACATTTTCTTTAATGCCTTAGACATTTTTTCTTTTCAGGGGCATTAAAAAATGGATTTGATTGTTACTGTATTTGAAGAGTCCTTGTATTTACCAGTAATGGTACAGAATGACCAAGTATTGAAAACAGTAGGAAACAATTTCTGGGTTTAATTTTGTTTGCTTACTCTAACTTTTCCTCCTTTTTTTGCAGAGTCAAGTAAAGAACAGTTTGCCAGTACAAACATTGCTGAAGAGCTGGTAAAACTCTTCAAGAAACAAATAGAACATGATAAGAGGGAAATGATTTTCGAAGTTCTTGCTCCACTGGCAGAAAATGGTGAGAAAATAAATGTACCTCTTGATTTTTTTGATCATGTAGGCTTTTTATAATTTTTCTGGTATTGTTTAATTGCCAGCTATTTAACTCAGAACCTTATTTGTTTTATTAATGATGTGGTAAGTTTTATTTTGGTTTATCTCTAACTTGAGCTACATTATCTGTTTTATAACTATATCTACATTGGCCAAAGCTACTTTCCAAGTTACTTTGATTTTAAAATCTTGGCAAAGATGGTTCTGTATCTTACATATTGTTATGCCAATCTGGAAAAGGCAGCTGAGAAGCTGAACTCCACTTAAGAGTCCTTGCAGGGCAAAGGGGATAACAGTTGGAGTCCAGACTGCCAACAGTTGGAACACTGGTAAGTTACTCCCACCTTTGGGCAAAAAATCTTAAGGGATAATATCCTAGGAATCAAACTAGAGGAAACAAACCATCCCATATAAATAATTTTTCAAATACAGTGTCTAGCACATAATCAAAGAGAACCAGACACATGTGGAGACAAGACATTGTAAGCAAGAACCAGCACAGAGAACAGGCAACAGCACAAACCTCCAGACACTAGAATTTTTAGACATTGACTCAAAACAGGTATGTTTATTGTATTCAGAGTTCAAAGCAAGCTTGAAAAACTTAGAAGGAAACCGGAAGCTATAAAAAGTGCCATAACAGATTTAAAAAAGAAACAATTGGAAATACCTGAATTGAAAGATACAACAAAGATTTGGAGAATTTAATGTATGGGTTTAACAGCAGATTAAGTATAGCTGAATTAGAGAACCAGTGAACTGGAAGATAGACTGGAACAATATTGAGAATGAAGTATAAGAAGAAAGGAAAGAGCCAAATACATTTTTTTAAAAAAGTGAGAAGTAGAGAGGATGATGTGAGGCTCTCATGTACATATTTTGGAATCCCAGGAAGGGAGGAGGGAACAGAGGCAATGTTTAAAGAAATTCTGGCAGAGAGTTTACCAGAAATTATGAAAGTCTCAAAGATTCAAGAAGCCAGATGAATCTAAAGCATGATAAAAAGAAATCTGTATCTAGAAATACCTTACTTAAATTGTAGAAAACTAATGACAAAATTCTTAAAAGTAGCTAACAAAAAAGTATATTATCTTACAAGAGGCAACAGTTTGACCATCAGCTAACTTCTCAACAGCAACAGTGAAAGCCAGGTGACAGTGAGGTAACATTTTCTGTGTGCTGAAAGAAAATAAATGCCAATTTAGAATTCTAAACCCAATGAAAATACCCTTTACTGGAGGCAAAATAAAGATATTTTCAGATTAAAAACTGAAAGTTCACCACCAGTATGCCCACACTAAAGGAAGTTATAAAAGATGTTTTTCAGATAGAAGAAAAATGATTTCAGAAGGAAGGTTATAGATGCAAGAGAGAATAAAGAACAACAAAAAACACTGGTAAATATGTAGGTAAATCTCATGTACACTGAATAAAGAAAATAATGAAAATAATATATTTTGAAATATAAAATGTATATGTATATAATTTAAAATGCACTACAAAATGAGTATATGAACCTGGAAAAAGTTTGTAAAAGAAGTTAAAGTCTTAAGACCCTTGTATTATTTGGAAGAAAATACTATTAGTTTAGGCTCATTGTTCAAGGATGTTGTTAAGATTACTACTAAAGTAATTTTTTAAACAATTTTTTAAAACAAAGATTTTTCTTTAAATACCCATTCAATCAAAAATAACAGAAAAAAGGAGAGAAAATGGAACATGGAACAGGGAGTATAATAGTGCATAAAAAATACTAGACATAAGATGCAGTATTTCAGAAATTACACTAAATGCACATGGCCTAAATACTTTAATTAAATGACCAGTTGTCAACTAAATTAAAAAAAATATATATATATATACTTTTAAAATAAGCAACACATTAAATATCAAGAGATTTTAAAGGTTAAGAATAAAAAGATTGAAAAAACATTCCATTCAAACCTAGGAAGGCCAAGGTAGTTATATTTAATATCAAGTTAAACAAACTTTAAGGTTAAAAGACTTGCTAGAGATAAAAAAGGTAACCTTATAGTTATGAATAAGTTCCAATTCTTCTAGATGCTATAACTGTATTATACATTACTCAAAAACATATAAAGCAAAAATATTGAGAACTATGAGAAATAGACAAATCCATAAATAAATGAGAGCTTTTAATACTTCTTTCAGTAATTTAAAGAACATGCAGATTTTTTAAAATAAGAATATAGAAAATATAAACAAAATAATTAAGAAAATTGGTTTATAAAATAGACATATTTTAGAACAGAACACTACGCCTAGCTGCAGAGCCTTTTCTTTTCAAGTGTACTTGAAACATTTAGAAATATGTAGTCATGAAAAATTTTAACAAATTTCAAAGGATTGCAACCATACAGAGTATGTTCAGATAATAAAAAATGTACTTCTAACACCTCAGAGGTCAAAGAAGAATCGTGAATGAAATTAGAAAAAATTTTTAAATAATTAAAATTAAAATACTGTACCTCAAACCTCAAATCTTAGGTGATGTAGGTAAATCCATATTTAGAATATTTTGCTTTAAACTAATATATCAGAAAAGGATAAAAGCTAAAATCAGTAAGCTCAATATTCATCTCAGGAATCAAGAGAGAAGAAAACATAGTTAAACCCAGAAAAAGTAGAAGGAAGGAAATCTAAAGAGCTGAAATTAATAAAACAGAAAATACATAATACAATGCAATCATATGATCACCAAAGTTGAGTCTGAAAAGACTAATAAAATTGGTACATCCCTAGTGAGATTAATCAGGAAAAAAAAAAGAAAGAAAGAAGGCACAGTCAACCAAAATCAAGACTGCAAAAGGAGATCTCACTACCAGGTCTTCAGACATTCTTAAGAGGATGTGACAAACAATTTGATGTCAGTACATTCTAAAGCATAGATGGCACAAGAAGAAATAGAAAAGCTGAATAATCTTATCTTAAATTCTTCCAGAGAATAAGAAAAGCAGATATACTCGCCAATTTATTTTGGTAATATAATGAAATTATGATGGTAATATAACCTTTAATCTCAAATACCAGCAAAGAGAATACAAGGGTGAAAATTGAAGACTAGTCTCACTATGAACACAGATCCAAAATTCCCTTTAAAAGCAAACAAAATCCAGAACTGTATTTAAAATTAATCATCATAGCAAACTGAATTTATCATGAAAATGCAAAAGTTTTAATATTCAAAGTGCAATCAATATATTTCATTAAATTGAAACTTATTAAAGGGGAGAAATCATATAATCTCACATTCAGAAAAGCATTTGATAAGATTGACTATCCATGCATGATTTTTAAAAACTCTTTGCAAACCAGCAGTGGAAGAGAATGAACAGGATATATACCAGAAGCCTACAGAAAATATTATACTCAGTGGTGAAACAAAAAAGCATTTCCTTTGAAACAGAGTAAGGATCATCCCCACTTCCACTCATTGTATTATAGGAACTATCCAGTGCAGTAAAGTAAGAAAAGATACAGGAAAGATATAAATAAAACTATTATTATTTGTTGATACTTTTATTATATATATCAAAAATGCAAAAAAATCTACAGATCAATTTTTTAAACTAACCAGTATCAGATTACTAGCCCAAACAAAAAACCCAAAATATCGTATTTCTGTATACCAGAAAAAAAGTTAGAAAAGACATTTTAAAAAGTATATTGCTTACCATAGTATAAAAAATGAAATATTTTAAGAATGAACTTGAAGATGTGTAATATTTCTGGCAGGAAACTGTAGAAAATCATCCAAAGAAATTAAAGATCTAAATAAACAAGATATATGACTTCCATAGATTGAAACTTCAATATTTTAATGGTGTTATATCTTCCCATATTGATCTGTCACAATGTCATTCTATCCAAAATCCCAAAACACCAGGAATAGCCAAGATACTGTGAAAGAGAACAAGGTAGCAGAACTGGTTTTACTGTATAACAATAATAAAACTTTACTCTGATAAAACTATAGTAATTAAAAGATACTGTGGTATTGGTGCCAGGATGGATGAGATAACCATTCATAGGACAGAATACCCCAGAAACAAATGGAAACATTAATACATGTTTTATATTAGAAAAAAAAAATGACCTTACTGCAAAACTCTCTGGAACGATCTTTTCAATGAACAGTACTGGGAATATGGAAACAAATACAGTTGAGACACACATATACCCTCATTTCATGTTTTATTAAAAAAATAATAATTTCAGGTAGATTACTGACCTAAATGTAAAAGTTAAAACCAGAAAGCTTATCTTAAACTGTAAGAGAGGAGAACATTGTCATGCCCTTGGTGTACAGAAAGTTTTCTTAGGTCATAAAAGCTCTAAACATGAAGGAAAAGATTGATAAATTTGATATTTTAAAAGCACAAACTTTCAAATAATGAAAGTAAAAGATGCCAAAAGACATTCATAGAGTGAAAAGCAAGACAGTGGGTGAGAGAACATATTTACAACACGTAGCCAACAGAGGGCTTGGTACAATATATCAAAACTCCCACAAATCATTAAGAAAAATATAGAAAACCCAGAGGGAAATGTATGAAAGATTTGAAAAGGTCCTCAACACAAGGGAAAATCCAAATGGCTAAAAAATACATGAAAATATTCTCAACTCATTAGTAATCAGGAAATACAAAATAAAACCACAATAAATACCACTATATACCTACCAGCAAGTCTGATAATAGCAGATGTTGATGAGGGTATGGAGCAGTGGAGACTCTTAAGTCCTGCTGGGAGTATAAATTGGTACAACTTGGAAACAGTATCCACTGAGCATCTTTGTGATCCAGCAGTTCCTCTTTACGACCATACCCAGAAAAGTGCACATGTGCACTAGGATCCATTACAGGGATTTTCATAGCATCATTTATAGTGATGAAAAATTGGAAACAGCTGATATCCATTAATAATAAATAAATGATGATATATTCATATAATGGAAAAATAAAAAGTTACATGAAGGGATTAAGTCAGCTATAACCAAATAGTGGCGATGCATCTTAGAAACATATTAGAAGAAGAAAAAAGCCAACACTGAAAAATAAATATTGTAAGATTCCATGCATATTAAGTTCAAAAACAGGTAGAAGTAAACTGGTTTTTAGGAATGATTATTTATTTGGTGAAACAATTAAGAAAAAATGTGGATGGGGTCACCTAAAAATCAGGGTAGTGATTTGAGAGGAAGGTAGAGGGATTTGTGATAGGCAGAGTGCCCTGGGGGCTTCCTGGGTTATTGGCAATGAATTTCTTGATCCAGGTGGTGGTTACATAGTTATTTGCTTAAAACTGATTAACATATATTATGCACTTTTCTGCATTTGGGTTTTTTTTTTTTTACCATTTAGACAAGATTTAAAAATACATACACACACACGTATGGATATGCAAACACTCATGATAAAGATGGATGTCCTTGAGCAGAATGGTGTTGATAAATGGGTGCTGGGCTGTTTACTTTGGCAGAATGCCTTGCTGATCCTCTTTAATATGGCTCTTCAAGCCTCCCCCATATATATGTGATTACACTCAAACTGTGAGAGGAGAGATCTGTAAACTTTAATCTTGACACATTTCAAATTTTCTGAATTTCCTTAGATCTTACTATTTAGGGAGAAATGTGTTTTTCATCTCATTTGGTGGTATGGCCAAATGGAATTTTTATTGTGACCTTGAGTCAATTTTGTCAGAGAATTACCTGTCACCTTCCTTGGAGTATGTGAAAATTACATTTTTTCTTATTTCTGTTTTCTCCTCTGCCATCTTCATTTCTGTTTTGTAACTGTGCAGTAGGTTGAATGATACCTTTGAAAACTTGTTTCTCCGTTATCCTTAGCATATCATCCTTGGTTTTCTTTTATGCAAAGGAGAGGGATTCCAATATTTAAATTGGGATTTTATGGTCCCACGTTTTTAGTATTTCAAGGCTTTTTCATCGTGGCCTTCAATTCTAGTCGCCACATATTTCTAGCCCTAACATTCTGTAACCAAGGTAACGCCCTACTTTCAGCAAGGCACAGTGGAAGTGTACCTTCTGAAATATTATTCCAGGTTGAATATTTTGTGTATCTAGAGATCAATCGTCCTGGTAGTAGAAAAACTTTAGTTTAAAATTCCCTGTAAGTAAAAGTTTTAAGTATAAAGAAGGTCTTTATTTCTCCCCAATGAAAAGCAAAAACTGCTGTTACTGTAGATATGTACATGTATAGCTTTAGGGAAACCAATGACCAAAATAAAATCCAGCTAAAAAATTAAATTAAAAAATTCCTGGGTAGCTAATGTATTTGTAGGTCAGTGAATCCACATTTGTCTTCAGCAGTGTCAAACACATACAAAGCATTTAAGCCAGTTTAGGTTAAAATACAAAGATAAATGAAATTATAATATTTGCTATAATGGGGGGAAACAGATATGTACACAAATACAAAATCTTCAATGAAATAAATCCTATAATAAAAAAATATTTAAGTCATTAGAGGAGCAAACAATTGATCTGATATGCAAGTAGAGTTGGCTATGAAGATAAATTTTAAAAATATTATTGGGATGTAAATTCTGTCTCTAAAATGGCTTGTTGGTTATCAGAAAGCTCAAAAGTTATTTTTTTCTTCCAACTTTTTTTATGGAAATTTTAAAACCTACTCAGATGTAGAGGTAATGTAGTACATCATTCAAGAAAACTTGAAATTAATGAATATTTGAAGCCCTTTTTAAAAGCATGACTTTTATAGTTCAGAAAGTTATACATGTATTAACTATGCTAGAAAAATAGCATCTCTACAAATATAAATCTAAATATACTTGTGGTATAGTTTGAAATTTACTGATAGATCTTTACTTCGCAATAACTTTGTATTCAGACTCCATTAGTGGATATATTTTAACTTTACATAACAGATTATTTTATTTTAAACAGCGTGAGATAGTTTCTAGTATTGTCTTTTAAACATGAGCATAATATCTAGGATAACAGTAGAATGATAGTGCCTATCTTCAGAGCTGAAAATCAATTTGGTAAGTGCTGCCAGACATTATTAAAGGTGACATAATTTCAACTGGAAAGATGGGGAAAAAAGTTTTTAAGTATTTAAGCTCAATTCTCAGATGCTTCCTTTTGAGACTCAAATCTTCAAAGGTGTGTGTTATCTAAATCTTGCATTTTCTTGTTTTCTTAATAATTCTTCATAATGGATTGCTTATACCAGAACTCCTATTTAATCTCAAGTTTTGATTATTTTGTTCACATTCTTCTTTAGATGCTATTAAACTACAGCTGGTTGAAGCAGGTCTGGTAGAATGTCTACTAGAGATTGTTCAGCAGAAGGTGGATAGTGACAAAGAGGATGATATTGCTGAGCTCAAAACTGCATCAGATCTAATGGTTTTATTACTTCTTGGAGGTGAGTTGTATGATGCTGACCGCAGAACATGGTGTCAGATTTTTAAAAATTTATTGTCTCTTTTGTAAACACTACAATATATATATATTAGGCATTTTCTCATTTTCCTATCTCATTTAATCCTGTTGATGTGATGATTTTGAAAGTTTAAATACACCAGAGACAGAACTAATAACCTGGAAAAGAGGACTTTTCACCATCTCCCACTATTTGAAGATCTGTAATGTAGGAGAGACAGCTATGGCATCAAAACATAAAAACCAGATGGCTACTTGGGACTTAAACTAGAAAAATAATAAACTCTCTTGTCCTATCGCTACTCAAAGGTGGTAAAAAGAGTTAGTACTTTTCTCTTTATGAATTAATAGTTTGTGAGGATGCAGTTCCCCTCTTGGATATTCACTTAAGACTATGGACTTATTACTTCTAATTATTTCCCTCTCAAATTGTTTCATTTATCTCCAGATGAATCCATGCAGAAGTTATTTGAAGGAGGAAAAGGTAATGTGTTTCAAAGGGTGCTGTCCTGGATTCCATCAAATAACCACCAGCTACAGCTTGCTGGAGCATTGGCAATTGCAAATTTTGCCAGAAATGGTAAGCATATTATTTCACCTTTTTAAATCAGATGTTTCGCTTTGCCATTACATGTACTAAAACTGAAACAGTTCAAGTATGGGTAGTGTGTGTGTACTACTACCTTCATTTTTCAGGGATCTGTAAATACAGTGATTTGCATAACAAATTACATATTTAATGCAATTCAGCTAAGTTTTAATAGTTTAAAGTTCATGAGCAATGATCATGAAGTCCTTCTCTGAATACTGTGCACTTCAGAGACTGGTAAACTTGAGTCCCATTCTAATATACATATGCTCTGGGAGGATATGCTCTCTTGCCTAGTGATTAAATATTGGATTTAATAATATGAATATTCATTGTAGGTTATTAATACTTTTATTCCTATAAAGTATGGGTAATCCACAGGGGTAGGGTATAAAATTGAATTTAGTTTAATATTTCTAAGGCACCAGACCTCCAATGTTCATTTTTGAAGCCTGGCACTCCCATTCAGTCTAGAAACTAATTTTTACACGGTATCTAGGAAATGTGGATTATTTTTGCTTTAGTTTGATTTTATTTAATATGACCTGTTGTTAAAGTATAATGGATGACTGACTCCATTTTTACTCCCTTCTTTTTGGGACTGTCATTAGCTCTTTAATGATGGGATTAAGGCTGACTAAATATTGATAATTATTGAAGCTAACTGTGGAGTATATAGTGGTTTGATAATCATATTCTCTCTGCTTTATAAATGTTTGAAAATTTTATCATTGAAAAATAATTCAAGTACCAGCCATCAAAACAAAATGTAGAGTACTGTCCCTGTAACCTTAGCAAAACTCAGGCATACTTCACTATAAATGAAAACCGTTGGTAGACTCTTTAAGCATGTGGTTTTTCCTTATCTTCTGATATATTCTCAGGCTCTAAACTGGAGATTTTTTCAGACCATTTTTCTGATTTTTAAATTTTTGTATATTTTAAGAATCTTATAACCAGACTTTTCACTGAGTTAAAAATCTCTTAAGTCTGATGGAAAAAGAGTTGGGATTCATTTTATTTTCTTATAGATCCATTTTCCCTAGTGTAGATAATAGACATCATTATTATATTCCCAAATACTTACTGATATTTATAAAGAGGAAGAAAAATGCTTTTGTTTTATCAGATGGAAATTGTATCCATATGGTAGAAAATGGAATTGTAGAAAAACTTATGGATTTACTGGACAGACATGTAGAAGATGGAAATGTAACTGTACAGCATGCAGCACTAAGTGCCCTCAGAAACCTGGCCATTCCAGGTAAGACTTAAGAATGGGAGGCAACTATGTATGAAATAAAATCTGTTTGGGGAAGATACTTTTTTTGTGATTTGTGGACTTGCCCTGATGAAGAAATGAAAAAAAGTATTCAAATTGTTTACATTTTTCTTACTAATAAATGGAGATCATATGTTAAATAAGTTTTTTGAGACTATATAAGCATAATCATTGTCTTTGTTCAGATCATTCATATACTATAACCTTTTGTGAACTCCTAGATTTTCATATTGTGAAGTTAAGCTTTTTAAAGGATCTTCAGTTGAGGTAAGATAATGGTATCAATTAACAGAGTCCCCTGAAGAATGACTTTTAAGGGGTTTTTTTTTTCCCTACAAGCAGACATATAATATTTAAAATAGCCTAATGGTCTTCTTGGATTAAAGGCTTATGGGCCCTAAAATCACATTATGATGGAAAATAATAGGAGATAATTAAAACTATTATTTTATTCTATTTTCTGAAAATAGATTTCTGATTAGGTGAAATAGTGTAACTATATACAATCTATAAGAAATCAATTTCACACAGCAATTTAATATTGTTTATTAACTTCTATTTTAATACATTTAGGTCAAGGATAGATGTAAAAAGAAACTTTTAAAGTTGAAGAATTGTGCTTTTAGTAAATAAGAAGACAACATTGTCAGATTGCCTTTACAGATTATTTAAGTCTTTTGGAGGTTAGGTTTAAAAAGCCAGTAAGAATAATTTTGTATGTTATACTCCAGTGACAAACAGAATAGTTACCTCCCAGACCCCTCAACCCTTAATCTCATTCTTAAAATTCATAGAAAAGTAATTATTGTTTAAATAGAAAAATACAACATCAGGCCTCAGAGACAGAAAGACACTCAATAATGTGTATTGAATGATTATCATTAAGAATGCTGACACCAGTAGAAGGAGAGACATAATAAAGATTAGAGCAGAAATAAATAAAATTGAGAAGAATAAAACAATAGAAAGAATCAGTGAAAGCAGGAGCAGGTTCTTTGAAAAAATAAACAAAATAGATAAACCCCTAGCCAGACTTCTCAAGAAAAAAAGAGAGTCTACACAAATAAACAGAATCAGAAATGAGAAAGGAAAAATCACTACGGACACCACAGAAATACAAAGAATTATGAGAGAAAACTATAAAAAATTATATGCTAACAAACTGGACACCCTAGAAGAAATAGACAACTTTCTAAAAAAATACAACCTTCCAAAGCTGACCCAGGAAGAAACAAAAAATCTGAATAGATCAATTACCAGCAAGGAAATTGAATTGCTAATCATAAAACTACCTAAGAACAAAACCCCTGCACTGGATGGTTTCACTGCTGAATTTTATCAAACATTTAGTGAAGACTTAATAATCATCCTTCTCAAAGTTTTCCAAAATGTAGAAGAGGAGGGAATACTCCCAAACTCATTCTGTGAGGCCAGCATCACTCTAATACCAAAACCAGGCAAAGACACCACAAAAAAAGAAAATTACAGACCAATATCCCTGATGAACATAGATGCAAAAATACTCAACAAAATATTAGCAAACCAAATTCAAAAATACATCAAAAAGGTCATTCATCATGATCAAGGAGGATTTATGCCAGGGATGCAAGGATGGTACAACATTTAAAAATCCATCAACATCATCAACCACATCAACAAAAAAAGGACAAAAACCACATGATCATCTCCATAGATGCTGAAAAAGCATTTGACAAAATTCAACATCCATTCATGATAAAAACTCTCAACAAAATGGGTATAGAGGGCAAGTACCTCAACATAATAAAGGCCATATATGACAAACCCACAGCCAACATTATACTTAACAACAAGAAGGTGAAAGCTTTTCCTTTAAGATTGGGAACAAGACAAGGATGCCCACTCTCCCCACTTCTATTCAACATAGTACTGGAGGTCCTAGCCACGGCAATCAGACAACACAAAGAAATAAAAGGGATCCAGATTGGCAAGGAAGAAGTCAAACTGTTCCCGTTTGCAGATGACATGATATTGTACATAAAAAACCCTAAAGAATCCACTCCAAAACTAATAGATCTAATATCTGAATTCAGCAAAGTGGCAGGATAAAAAATCAGTACACAGAAATCTGTTGCATTCCTATACACTAGCAATGAACTAGTAGAAAGAGAAATCAGGAAAACAATTCCATTCACAATTGCATCAAAAAGAATAAAATAGCTAGGAATAAACCTAACCAAGGACGTGAAGGACCTATACTCAGAAAATTACAAGACACTCATGAGAGAAATTAAACAAGATACCAATAAATGGAAACATATCCCATGCTCATGGATAAGAGGAATTAATATTATCAAAATGGCCATCCTGCCTAAAGCAATCTACAGATTCAGTACAATCCCTGTCAAAATACCAACAGCATTCATCAATGAACTAGAACAAATAGTTCTAAAATTCATATGGAACCACAAAGTCCCCAAATAGCCAAAGCTATCCTGAGAAGGAAGAATAAAGCTGGGGGAATTATACTCCCCAACTTAAAGTTCTACTACAAAGCCACAGTAATCAAGACAATTTGGTACTGGCACAAGAACAGACCCATAGACCAATGGAACAGATGAGATAGCCCAGATATAAACCCAAGCATATATGGCCAATTAATATACTATAAAGGAGCCATGGACATACAATGGGGAAATGACAGCCTCTTCAACAACTCATGTTGGCAAAACTGGACAGCTACATGCAAGAGAATGAAACTGGATTATTATCTTACCCCATACACAAAAGTAAACTCAAAATGGATCAAAGACCTGAATGTAAGTCATGAAACCATACTCTTAGAGGAAAATATAGGCAAAAATCTCCTGAATATAAACATGAGCAACTTTTTCCTGAAGGCATCTCCTTGGGCAAGGGAAACAAAATAAAAAATGAACAAATGGGACTACATCATGCTTAAAAGCTAAGGACACCATCAGCAGAACAAAGGACACCATCAGCAGAACAAAAAGGCATCCTACAGTATGGGAGAATATATTTGTAAATAACATATCCAACAAGGGGTTAACATCCAAAATATATAGAGAACTCACATGCCTCAACACCCAAAAAGCAAATACTGCTATTAAAAAAACGGGTGGAGGGTATTAATAGACACTTCTCCAAAGAAAAAATTCAGATGGCCAACAGGCACATGAAAAGATGTTCCACATCACTAATTATCAGGGAAATGCAGATTAAAACCACAATGAGATATCACCTCACACCAGTTAGGGTGGCCAACATAGAAAAGACTAGAAACAACAAATGCTGGCAAGGATGCAGAGAAAGGGGAACCCTCCTACACTGCTGGTGAGAATGTAGCTGGTGGGAATGTAAAATATTTCAACCATTTGGAAGGCAGAATGGAGGTTCCTCAAAAAACTAAAAATAGAAATACCATTTGACCCAGGAATTCTGCTCCTAGGAATTTACCCTAAAAATGCAGGATCCCAGTTTCAAAAAGTCATATGCACCCCTATGTTTATCACAGCACTATTTACAATAGCCAAGAAATGGAAGCAACCTAAGTGTCCATCAGTAGATTATTGGATAAAGAAGATGTATATGTACTCAATGGAATATTATTCAGCCATAAGAAGAAAACAAATCCTGCTATTTGCAACAACATGGATGGAGCTAGAGGATGTTATGCTCAGTGAAATAAGCCAGGTGGAGAAAGACAAGTACCAAATGATGTCACTCATCTGTGGAGCATAAGAACAGAGCAAAAACTGAAGGAACAGAACAGCATCAGACTCACAGAACCCAGGAATGGACTAACAGTTGCTAAAGGGAAGGAGACTGGGAAGGGTGGGTGGGAAGGGAGGGATAAGGGGAATAAGGGACATTGCAATTAGCACACATAATGTGGGGGGGTGGGGCATGGGGAAGGCAGAATAGCACAAAGACAATAGTGACTCTATAGCATGTTACTACGCTGATGGACAGTGACTGTAATAGGGTATGTGGTGGGGACTTGAGAATGGGGGAGTAACCACAGTGTTGCTCATGTGATTGTATATTAATGTTAACAAAAAAAAAAGAATACTGACACCATTTTAACCATTTTCTCTCTATATCTCTTTCTTTCCAGTTGTAAATAAAGCAAAGATGTTATCATCTGGGGTCACAGAGGCAGTTTTGAAATTTCTGAAATCTGAGATGCCCCCAGTTCAGTTCAAGCTTTTGGGAACATTAAGAATGTTAATAGATGCACAAGGTATGAGAAGTATTTCCCAAGGAGCATTTTTGTTGTGATAGTCTTCATGCGCCTCTAGGTGAAAAAGGACTTGCTTTTACTTTTCAGAAATATGTAATCATAAAGATAAATAGCAAATAAAAGACAAAAAGATACTGGTTTTGGAACCCCATTCATTAATTCCCATGTTTGTTGTAATTGAGTTTAAATGGAAATTACCCTGCATCTCTCTTCATTAGCATATATAATCCTGTGTTTAGGGTGGTTTATTAGCAGTTCCTAGAGCGTTTTAAATGTTTTAGAATTCCATACCCATTTTTACTTTGTGTTCAAAATCATCACTTCAGTACAGTGATAGAATTTTTTTAAATTCTTTTTGCAAATAGGGAGATCATGTCTCTGTTTACAAAAACAGCAGTGAAAAATCACTCTTTGGAATGAATTATGTTTATTTACTTGTTTCTAAATTCTAAACCTTTCTTTGTATTGATTCCTTAGAGTCCTTGTAAAAGCACTTTGTAACAGTTTGCCAGAGTACAGACCGACTAGCATGCTGAACCAAAAGACTATGAAGTTGTTTTTGTATTTTTGTGGTTTGTATGAAAGTCCATAGCTTTTTAAAAAAAGGCATCAGATACTGCATATTTTCAATTCTTGCTTTTACAAAATTTTATATTGTGTTTTTTTAGACATTTAATTCTCCTTCACATTATTTACATCTTTACCAATTATTGCAGTTGATTGCCTATAGGTTATTTCAGTGATTGATTCCTCTGTGTTTGCCTTCTTTCCTATAGCAGAAGCTGCTGAACAACTGGGAAAGAATGTTAAATTAGTGGAGCGTTTGGTGGAATGGTGTGAAGCCAAAGATCATGCTGGTGTGATGGGGGAGTCAAACAGACTGCTCTCTGCCCTCATACGACACAGTAAATCAAAAGTGAGTTCCAGAGGAAACCATTCACTAAAAAACAGTCGAGTGGCCTTTTTTGGAAACCCAATATCATAGATCCTACATCATAAGCTTGCATATCTATGTATTATGTATAAATATATTAATCAACAGTTCTAAAAAAAACACTTGAAGATTGAGCTTCTTTTATTTAGTTCTATTCCCGAAAAGTTAAGAGTAAGGCTTTGGAATCAGAGATGAGTTGAGATTACATACTTGGTCAAGTGTCTTCACATTTCATCTTAATATGTAGAAACTTGTATAATACCTACCTGCAAGTGTTGTGAGGCTGACTTAGCAATATAGCATGCATGTACAGAGTGCTCAGCTGCTACCTGGAACATAGTGAGCACCCAGTAAATAGAGGTTGCTGCTTTTATTATTCTTGCACCACCACCACCACCACCACCAGCATTAGGCACTGACCCAGGTAACTACTGATATTTAGAAGTTAAATGATGTATAGATAGTATATGATATCCAGAACTCACAAAACTGAATGAAATCTGTTCTTGTGCAGTGTCCAACCCAGTATGTCAGGCATGTAGTCAATAACATGTATGTATTTGTGGAGTGAATGAATAAATGAATGGACAAATGGAACTGTTTTAAAGGTCAGAATGATGGGAACCCAGACCAACAGTTCAGCAGCTGATTCAATATCCAGATTATATTCCTTTTATTTTTCATAATTTCTTTTCTCAGGTGAGCCTTTTGACCATCTCACTTGTATACAACTGTAGTAGTGATTGTATATGAGAGAAAAGACAGTTTAGAACTAATATCCACCTGCTATTCATTTATTTGTAGAACAGATCAAAAGAAGACAACAAGAGAGAACACTTAAAAGTAAAGGTGGTCGTTGACTTGTGTTAATCTCTTTCATGTAAATAATTGACTTCATAATAGCTACCCCCAGCTGGCTGGCCACAGAAATGTTCTTCCCCATCAGATGCTGCTCTTGGGATCTTTGCTTGCGGCAAAAGCAAGTGTTAAATGTTAACCAGAACCTCCCATTACCCGTAATGCTATCATATAAATTTGAAAAGAACTTTTTTGTTCTTATTCCAAGTTTAATTCTCTTCTGTTGTTCCTCTGGTAAGTCCATATTTGGGGCAATGGCACTTTTATTTCTTCGATTTTGGTAGCTTCTGAGACCCTTTTCCTTGATGTGAACTGTAATGGTCTTTTTCACTTAGGTAATGTAAGTTGTCAACTTTTGATGAATTTATTTAAAGCTAAAAGCTTTTTCCCTTTCCATCTGTGAAGAAAAAAATTATGGTTAAATGTGATGACTCAGACAGGACACTGTCAGAAAACCACTCAAATTAACAATGAATTGATTGACTATAATGCAGTTTCTTTGTTTAAAATTAAAGTTTATAATTCTGTCTGTGATATTTATTTATCGCAGGATGTAATTAAAACCATTGTACAGAGCAGTGGCATCAAGCATCTAGTTACCATGGCAACTAGTGAACATGTAATAATGCAGAATGAAGCCCTTGTTGCTTTGGCACTAATAGCAGCTTTAGAATTGGGTAAGTACCCCAGTGTCAAACTTATTTTCTCCTATTTTTATCTTGGATGAAGGGAAGCACAGGAATGGACTAGAAGTCAGACAAAACCTTGACTGGAAGCATTTTGCCAGTGTGTGTCTACCTTTATCTTAAGTATATGGAAAATCATATTCATAGTTTGTCACCACAGCTGTGCCTTTTGGTTGTGCTTTTGGTAACATTTTAAGGCAATGCTTCAACGTTAGTTTCACACTTAAACGTTATCTCAAGTTATAGACACTTGAGGAATACAGAAAACATTTTCAGGAGGCCTCACAGAGAATGAAAATATTTAGAATATTGTTTGGAATACAATAGCAATTTTAGAATTTGCTGGTGTTCCATTTCTTCCATCTCTGTACTGATTCTCCTGCTACTCTCCCATCACCATAGTTTCTTAGTTTTTCATAGTTACAGCCTTGCCTGCATTCTAAATTCTCATGTGTGTCACTCTTCTGTGAGTTTTACATTCAGAATTCCCCAAAAGCACATTTTAAGTAATTCAGTTAGTTTCTGTCTGGCATATAGCATCCCTGTTGGTCAGAATTCTTCATGCGAAGCTGGCTTATAGGCACCTAACTTATGGGTAGCAACATTTGTTTTAGGAACCAGTCTCATGTAGGCAGCTGGAGACAATCAGAGTTACATGACCTGTGATGAAGGCCCGAGGCTGCCTTACACAAAGTAGCATGGTAGACTCAGTAAGTATGCCCTATCCAGTTCAAAGCCATCTGAGTAAAGGCTGTTAGCTGATCACCTCTTTATTCCCACTCATGATTTATGTCCAGAATTCGTACACTGGGACAAGTGGACCCAACAACCCCTGTTCTAGGGGAGAAGCCTTATCTTCCTCCAGTATCAGATTTACTCACATTTTGGGTATGAGAGACTTGCATTTTTGTCCTTTTAAAACAAAAAGTCATGAATGTAAGCAGGATATAAAATTTTCTTGAATTTTAAAGATAAAAGATGTCAAGACTTCAAGAAATGTATGCTTACTCTCAGTGATTTTGATCTATAATTAGATATGCCATGGAGGTTAGTTTGATTCCTGGCCTAGCCTGTGATCTCCCACATGGTTGGAGTAGATGGTGTGAGTCAGCCTAGAAGTCCAGATGCCTTTCAGGGAGGAAGCTGTGAGGAAGGAGTGGGAGTCAGCAAAGACTTTGAGATTCATGGCCTGATTTTAAATGGATTGAAGTGATGGATCAATTTCAGAATATCCTTGACTTACCAGCCTGGGATGAATCTGTTTTTGTGCCAGTATTTTCCAAACCAACTAATTTTGTCAACTTCCTGATGGCTGAGCATATGCCTCGGTCTGCTTACCTTATCACAGAACTGTATAAAAGGACAATACACCCTTTTTTTTTTTATCGTTATCTAGTGTTTCTTAGGCTCCTTGACTTTTAAGATATAAAACTAGGCCCATACTATACAATGTACTTTGAAAACTGTCTCTTTTCAGCCTTGTTTTCTTACAAGCTATTTGATATTAAGGAATTATCATTTTAAATTTTTGTATGAAAACTGTATTAAAGCAACATATTTAAGCCTTTTTAAAGTTAATTATAGATTCACATGTAGTTGTAAAAAAATATTAATATTACAGAGATCCCTATATACTTTGCCCAGCTTCTCCCAGTGGTAACATTTTTCAAAACTATAAATAGTATAGTATTTCAACCATTGGTATAATTTACTGATCTTATTCAGATTTCCCCAGTTTTACTTGTATTCATTTGTATGTATGTTAAGTTCTATATAGTTTTATTACATGAAAAGATGTTACATGTGTAGGTTTGTGTATCGACTACCACAATCAAGATACTGAGCATAGATCTCCCACCACAACAATCTCTCCATTTATACCCACCTACTTCCTACTCTGCTTCTCCCTGGAAACCACCTCATTTCTAAAATTTTTTATTTAAAAAATGCTATGTAAATGGAATCATATAGTATGTGACCTTGTGGAATTAACTCCTCTAGCTAAGCATTATTTCCTAAAGAGTCATCTGATCTGTTCATAAATTTTTTTTTTTATGGCTGAATAGTGTTCCATGATAGGTAGGTGCCACAGTTTAACCATTTACTTGTTGAAGGACATTTGGGCTGTTTCCAATTTAGGGTTTATAAAAATAAAGCTGCTCTGAGCATTAATGTGTAGGTTTTTAAGTGAACATAAATTTTCATTTCTCTGGATAAATGCACAGGAGTGCACCTGCTGGGTTGGATGGGAAGTGCATGTTTAATTTTTTAAGACATTGTCTAGCTGTTTTCCAGAGTGGCTGTACCATTTTACATTCTCACCAGCACTGTAGAAGTGATCTGGTCCTTACCATCACTTGGTATTGTCACTATTTTTTATTTTAGCCATTCTGATAGCTATGTAGTGATAGCTCATATGGTTTTAATTTTCATTTTTCTAATGATAATGATATTGATGGTGAATATCTTTTCATGTGCTTATTTGCCATCTGTATATATTCTTTGGTGAAATGCATATATATAATTTTTTTAACTATTGAGCTTTGAGAATTCTTTAGTTTTACATTTCACACTTAAGTCTGTGATCCATTTTGAGTTAATATTTGTATAAAGTATGTGGTTTAGGTCATGATTCCTTATTTTGCCTATGGATGTACAATCGCCACCTATCTGGCATTTGTTGAAGAGGCTGTCTTTCCTCTATGGAATTGATTTTGTACCTTTGTCAAAGATTAGTTGAGCATATTTGTATGGGTCTGTTTCTGAGGTCTATTTCTATTCAGTTCTATGATCTGTGTGTCTATCCACCAATACCACAGTCTTGATATCTGTGACCCTTAATATTAAGTAGAAGAATTCCTCCTACTTCATTATTCAAGATTGTTTACTTCTTCTAGGACCTATGGTTTTCCATAGAAATCTCAGTATAAACTTAATCTGTTTTCTATTGGAAATCCTACTGGGATTTTGATAGGAATTTTATCGAGTCTTTCTTAAAAATGCATGCTACAATACATATAGAGGAAATTATATTATTTATAAGATTTGCTCCAAAATAATTTGGGATGGGTTGAGAATAAGATTGGAAATAGAAGAAACAAGGTTGTCCATGATAATTTTTAAAGATGATAGTAATACATAGTGTATCCTTATATCTTTTCTGCTTTTGTATCTATTTAACATTTTCCTAATAAAGATGTTTAATTGCCTTACATTAAAAGGAATGTCTTAATAATGAATTTTATGCCAAAATGCCTGAAATGTCTGCTGAAATTTAGTTCTACCTACTTTTTTAACAAGGTCTCAGTGTTATATATCTAGGTCCGTAGTATTTATCAGGCCTTTTGGAGGGTTTCACATGGTGAACTTCTAGAAAGAGAAGCAGTATTTAGCCAGATTGTACCAGTTTCATACACAGTGGATGTAACTGATGCTTTGTTTCATATTCTAGGCACTGCAGAAAAAGATCTAGAAAGTGCTAAGCTTGTACAGATTTTACACAGACTGCTAGCAGATGACAGAAGTGCTCCTGAAATCAAATATAATTCCATGGTCCTGATCTGTGCTCTCATGGGATCTGGTAAGGACCTCATCTATCATTTTGATGTCCATAAACATGTGATTGACATTATTAAATAGAATAATAATAAATGGTGGTTTTGGGTTTAAAAAGCATTAGAAATTAGTTTATGGAGGCTATAGGATTATTTTCACATTGAAAATATTCCCAAAAGACTCTTACTAATAATAAAAAGTAATATAATAAATTAATAATAAGTGTAACACTTACACTTAATAATAAAAAGTCTAACATAGCAGAAATGTGAAAGTCAGTGTTAAAAAATTCATACCTATAAGTTTCATCAACCCTATTTTATATAAAGAACAAGTTCTGATTTTGTATGCCATGATATTAGCTAAAACATTTGTTCAGGAAATTATTGGCATATCTTTGTACACGTTCCATGAATACTTGAAAAGAATGTATATTCTGCTGTTATTGGGTAGAATGTTCTTCAAATGTCAGATCCTTTTGGTTGGCTGTGTTGTTGAGGTTTTTATATTCTTGCTGATTTTCTAATTGTTCTGTGAGTTGTTGAAAGAAGGGTGGTAAAGTCTCCAACTATAATGGTGGATTTGTCTATATCCCCTTTCAGTTCTATCAGTTTTTCCTTTGTATATTTTGTAGCTCTGTTGGTAGGAACATATACACCTTTAGGATCACTGTGCCTTACTGGTAGACTAACCTTTCTATCATTATGTAATATTATTCTCTGTCTCTGCTAATTTTCTTTGCTCTTAAGTCTATTTTATCTGATATTAACATAGCCACTCCTACTTTCTTTGGAATAACATTGGATGAGCTATTCCCATCATTTTAGTTTCAGTCTTTTATATCATTATATTTGAAGTGTAGACAGCATATTATTGGGTCATTTGAACCCACTCTGTTGATTCCTTCTAACTGGTGTGTTTGGACCACTTACATTTAATGTAATGACTAATAATTATTTCTCTGCAGTTTCATTTTTTGCTTTCTGTTTCTCTTTTTTTCTGACTTACTGTTGGTTGCTTGAACATTGTATTTGTTACTTTACCTCATATAAAATAACTGCCTCAGATATTTTCTCTACATATTTAGAACCATATTAGACACTTAAAATTTATTTTTGGGATTTAATTTTTTATATTGAGATACATAAAATACACAAATCTTAGTGTGCAGCATGATGAATTTTGACATGTATATACAGTCATGTAACCATTGCCTAGATCAAGATATTAAACATTTAAATTTTTTTCCCATTCACCCATTCCTCCCCCAACCATGGCAACCACCAATGTGTTCTGTATTCAGATATATTTAGATTCTGTTTTCAGACTGTACAGATAAGTGAAATCATATGGTATTTGTCTTTCTCCACCTGGCTTATTTCATTTAGCATAATACCCCCTAAATCCCCCATTCACGTTGTCACAAATGGCAGATTTCTTTTTTTTTATGGCTGAGTAATATATTCCATTGTATATATTTGTCAAGTATTATTTGTCCATTCATCTATTGGTAGACATTTAGGTTGTTCCCATATTTTGGCTATTGTAAGTAATTCTATGATAAATGTAGGAGTGCAGATTATGGATTTTGTTTTCTTCAGGTAAATTCCCAGAAGTGGAATTCCTGGGTCATATTTCTAGTTTTTTGGGAAACTGCAATACTGCCTTCCATAATGGCTACACCACTTTGCAATCCCACCACCAGTGTACAAGGATTCCCTTTTCTCCACATCCTCACCAACATTTATTTCTTATCTTGTTAATGTTAACCATTCAGACTGGTGTGAGATAATATGTCATTGTGATTTTGATTTGCATTTTCCTGATGATTACTGATGTTGAGCATATTTTCATGTATCTGTTGGCCACCTGTATGTCTTCTTCGGAAAAATGTCCATTTAGGTTGTCTATTTTTTAATCAGATTATTTGTTTTATTTTGTGTGAGTTGTTTGAGTTCTTTATATATTTTAGATATTAGCCCCTCATCAGATACATTATTTGCAAATGTAATCTCCCATACAGTAGGTTGCCTTTCTGTTTTTGATGATGGTTTCCTTCATTGTACAGAAACTTTTTAGTTTGATGTTCCCACTTGTTTATTTCTGCTTTTGTTTCCCTTGGCAGAGAGATATATCCAGAAAAAGTTACTACTGCCAGTGTTCAGAGTTTACTGCCTATGTTTCCTTCTAGAAAGTTTCAGGTCTCATATTTAGGTCTTTAAAATATTTTTAGTTTGTTTTGTGGTGTAGGGCAGTGATCTAGATTCATTCTTTCACAAGTAACTGTCTAGTTTTCCCAACACCATTTATTGAGAACCTTTCTTTTCCCCATTGTATATTCTTGCCTCCTTTGTCATATATTAATTGACCATATATACATGGGTTTATATCTGGGCTGTTCTGTTCCATTGATCTATGTATCTGTTCTTGTGCCAGAACCATACTGTTTTGATTGCTGTCACTTTGTGGTGTAGTTTGAAATCAGAGAGTGTAATACCTCAACTTTGTTGTTCTTTCTCAAGAATGCTTTGGCTACTTAGAGTTTTTTGTGGAATTTTAGGATTATTTGAATCCTAATTCAATGGAGTTCATTGAAAAATGCCATTGGTATTTTGATGGAGTTTTAGTGAATCTGTAGCTTGCCTTAGGCAGTATGGCCATTTTAACAATATTAATTTTTCCTATACACGAGCATGGAATAGCTTTTCATTTACTTCTGTCTTCTTCAATATCTTTCACCTCCTTGGTTGCATTTATTTATAGGTATTTTATTCTTTTCAATGCAGCTATAAATGGGGTTAATTTATTTTCTCTTTCTGCTATTTGTTGAAATGCAACATACTTCTGTACATTGATTTGGTATCCTCAACTTTACTGAATTCATTTCTTAATTCAAGTAGATTTTTGGTAAAATTTTTAGGGTTTTTCTAAATATAGTATCATGTCATCTGTAAATAGTGACAGTCTTACTTCTTCCTTACCAATTGGGATTTTTTCTTATTTCTTTTGTCATCTGTTTGGCTCCAGCAGTATGTTGAATAAAACTGATAAGAGTAGGCATCTTTGTCCTGTTCCTAAAGGAAAAGCTTTCAGCTTTTCACCATTGAGTTGGATATTGGCTGTGGATTTGTTGTATATGGATTTTATCATGTTGAGGTATGTTCCCTCTATACCCACTTTATTGAAAGTTTTTAGCATGAATGGATGTTGGATTTTGTCAAATGAGATGATCATACAGTTTTTATCCTTCCTGTTGTTAATGTGGTGTACCACATTGATTTCTGAATATTGAACCATCCTTGCATCCCTAGAATAAATCCCACTTGGTCATGGTGATTGATTTATTTTGGGTTCAGATGTTCTAATATTTTGTTGGGAATTTTTGCATCTATGTTTACCAGGGAACGTTGGTCTTTAATTTTCTTACTTTGGTAGTGTCTGTATTTGGTTTTGGTATCAAGGTGATGCTAGCCTTGTAGAATGAATTTGGAAGCCTTCATTTCTTTTCTCAAAGAACTATCTCCTGGTTTCATTGATTCTTTCTATTGTTTTATTCTCAATTTTATTAATTTCTGGTCTGATCTTTATTATATCCCTCCTTCTACTGACTTTGGACCTCATTTGTTCTTCTTTTTCTAGTTTCATTAATTGTGAGTTTAGTCTGTTCATTTGGGATTGTTGTTCTTTCTTGAGGTAAGCCTGTAATGCAATATACTTTCCTCTTAGAACTGCCTTCTCTATGTCCCACACATTTTGGAGTGTTGAGTTTTTGTTTTCATGTGTCTCCATATATTGTTTGATTTCTGATTTTATTTGGTCATTGACCCATTGATTATTTAGGAGCATATTGTTAAGCCTCCATGTGTTTGTGGGCTTTTTTTGTTCTCTTTGCATTATTTATTTCTAATTTCATACCTTTGTGGTCTGAGAAACTGATTGGTACAATTTCAATCTTTTTGAATTTACTGAGGCTCTTTTTGTGGCCTAGTATAAATATAATCTACTCTTGAAAATGTTCCATGGGCCCTTGAGAAGAATATGTATCCTGCTCCCTTTGGGTCGAGTGTTCCATAGATGTCTATTAGGTCAGTCTGTTCTAATGTGTTGTTCAGTGCCTCTATCTCCTTACTTATTTTCTCTCTGGTTGATCTGTCCTTTGGAGTGAGTGGAATGTTAAGTCTCCTAAAATGAATGCATTACATTCTACTTCCCCTTTTAATTCTGTTAGTATTTGTTGCACATATTTAGGTGCTCCTATATTGGGTATATAAATATTTATAATGGTTATATCCTCCTGTTGGACTGACCCCTTTATCATTATGTAATGTCCTTCTTTGTCTCTTGTTACTTTATTTGTTTTGAAATTTTTATCTGATGCAAGTAGTGCAAGTCCTGCTTTTTTATCCCAATTATTTGTATAAAATATATTTTCCATCCCTTCACTTTTAGTCTGTGTATGTCTTAGGGTTTGAAGTGAATCTCTTGTAAGCAGCATACAGATGGGTCTTGTTTTTTTATTGATTCTGTAACTCTATGTCTTTTGATTGGTACTTTCAATTCATTTACATTTAGGGTGATTATCAATAGATATGTACATATTGCCATTGCAGGCTTTAGATTCATGGTTACCAAAGGTTTACAGTCTAATTTAACTCACTTATGCTATTTCAAACACAACCTAAAGGTTCTTTTTTTTGTCTCCCTTATTTTTCTTCTTCCTCCACTCTTTGTATATTAGGCATCAGATTATTTACTCTTTATGTATTCCTTGACTGACATTGGGGGTAGTTGAGTAAATTTTGCATTTGCTTAGTAATTAATTGGTCTACTTCCTTTACTATGGTTTTATATTCTCTGGTGACAGCTATTTAGCCTTAGGAGCACTTCCATCTAGAGCAGTCCCTTTAAAATACACTGTAGAGATGGTTTGTAGGAGGTAAATTCCCTCAATTTTTGCTTATCTGGAAATTGTTTAATCCCTTCCTCAAATTTAAATAATAATCCTACCAGGTAGAATATTCTTGA